CCAGACCAGGTGGGGCTACAGGGGGACCCTTTTTTAAAAAACCAAAAAAAAAAAAAAAAAATCAAATCAAAAACAATGTAAAATTCAGTACTTCTGCAACAACCTACATTTTGTTGTTTTGAGACAGGGTATTGTGTAGCCCTGACTGGCCTTGAAATCTTTATATAACCTAGGATGACTTTAAACTGATTCTGCTGACTCTTACCTCCTTACTGCTGGGATTACAGTGGTACTATGCCCAGTTTCTGTAGTACTGGGGATCACATCTGGGTCTTTGTACATGACAGGTGAGCACACTTAACTGAGCTACATCCTCAGCCCCAAGTATCCATATTTCTAAGTGACAATTGGCTACTGCATTGGACGTGGCAGATACTGAACATTTTCATCACTGAAGAAAGTGCTGTTGAACAGTGCTGTGCTAGAACTGGGACTAACCAAAGGTCAGAGAAAATGTGAATGAACTGAAAACAAGCTAGTGCCTGATTGATTTTGACTGAGAAGAGTCACTAGTGAAAGGGAAGCTGACTGGGCCTTTGGAATAGTGACCTCACAAAGCACAGCTCACAATGTCTCCGGAACGCTTAAGCTCCCGGACCACTCTCCTTAATTCATGTCGAGATTCCTGAAGCCTCTGCACATGTAGTTCCTGGAGCTGCTGTTTTAAAAATGCCAACATCTCCATCTTCATCTTCTTCCTGGGACAACCTCTTAAATGCTCTCGCTCAAAGCTCAGCATGGACTTGGCTACAAGCAACTTTTATAGGAGAGACTACTGTGCCTCAGCCAACAAATTCGGGGATTCTAGATAATCTTGCTTCAGCTGTGCAAATCATCCTAGGGATTTCTTTTTTGACTTTGTTGGTCTTAGGATTATTTGCCTTATGGAAAAGAAGTGTTCGGTCAATTCAGGTTGTATTTTTAATTTAAATAGGTTTCTTTGGGGTGGGGGAGTGGTGTTGGTATTTGGTTTTGGTGTTTTAAGACAGGAACTAAATGTGAAGCTCAAGGGAGCCTTGAACTGATTGTAGAATGAGGCTAGCCTCAAATTCATGCTTCATTCAGCCCTTACCTCCAATCCCACCCCAAGTGCTGGGATAACAGGTACATACCACTATGCCTGGCTACAAATTCCTTTCTGGTTGGTTCTCTTCTGTATTTCTGCTACCTAGTTTTTTGTTGTTGTTATTTTAGTCTTTTTGAGAGTATCTCCCTATAGCTTCAGCTGGCCTGGAGCTCACTATGTAGACCAGGCTTGCCTTCAACTCACAGAGCTCTATCTACCTGTCTCTCCTCCCACATACTGGGACTTAAGGCATAAGCCACCTCACCCGGTTTTTGCCCTTTCTTTTAACTGATAAGGAAACTACATATTGTTGTTGAATGTTTTCATTATTGTGTTTTAACAAGATAAGCCTCCATAAATATACAGGAGTTTTTGGGAATGATAGGACTTTAACTGGCTTGGGATTATGAGAAACATTTGGAATTTATATAGTTCTGTTTAATCCCCATCCCCAATCATCATCCTCATTATAACTTATTTATAATATAGTCTCAAAGCCAGGCACAGTAGTGCATGCCTTTAATCCCAGGACTTGGGAGGCAGAGGCAGGGGGTTCTCTGAGTTAGAGGCCAGTTGAGGCTACAGAGAGAGACCCTGTCTCAAAAAGACCAAATAATAATAATAATAATAATAACAACATAGTCTCAAGTGTTTTGGGGAATCCCAATAGCTCCATGAAACTGGTAGTTTATTTTCACATGAGATGAAGGAACTGAGGTGCCAAAATTGAAGCTCAGTGGAAATTTAAGGGGATAGAATTTTAAAAGTGCTGGATTTTTGTTGTTGTTTTGTTTTGCTGAGAAGGTCTCATGTAGCCTAGACCTACTAGGTAATGGAGGCTGACCTTGAACTCCTTATCTTCCTCCTTCATCTCCCAAGTGTTGGGATTATAGACACATACCAAGATGAGCATGAGGCGTTTTTATTTATTTTGAGACATAGTTTCACTATGTAGCCCTGGTGAGTTTGGAAATCACTATGTAGACCGTGCTAGCCTCAAACTCCTATATCCTCTTGCCTCTGTCTCCCAAGTGCTGAAGTTAAAGGCTTTGTTAAAGGATGGTTTGTTTGATGAGTACACAGAGAAGTTATTACTGGATTATTTTGTAGCTTTCACTTTTTCATGTGTTAACTATTGTTTAGGATTCATGGTTTAATGCACCTTCTGATAGATTAAAAGTAGCCTATGGATGAATCCAGTTGATCAGGAGGAAGCACCAGGACACATAAAAGTCCATCGGAATAGAGTTTATTAGCAAAGGAACACATGGGACAGATTCCCTTCTGGGCAGGGAAAATGTCTACCCAGGTCATGAGCTGGGGTCTTTTAAGGGGGAGGCTTCGGCTTCCTGCAGAAGGTGGGAAGATGTATTTGATCAATAGGGTTGATCAGGAGAAAGCAGAGTTTATTAGCAAAGGAACACATGGGACAGATTCCCTTCTGGGCAGGGAAAATGTCTACCCAGGTCATGAGCTGGGGTCTTTTAAAGGGAAGGCGGGAAGATGTATTTTTTTTAAAAGTTGGGCGGTAGGGGGGAGTAGGGGAGCAGGACTGTTAAAACCTGTTCTCTTTAGAGATCAAAGGGGAAGCCTGCTGTGTTGGCCAAACAGTGGAGAAAAGTCTGCTTCTCTTGACTTCAAAGACCAAGGTGTTTATCAGCTCAGTTTCCTTTTCTCAGGAGCTTGAGAAGTCCTTGGGACCCTATTGGTGAGGGGGCGGAGCTATCTACCTTAACACCTTCTATTTTCATTTCTGAAACTCTGCATAGTAATGGGGACAGGTTAGCTCCACTTTGGAAGGGAAGTAATTTTGGTTCCAAGTTCTTTTTTTTTTTCTTTTTTTTTTAGTCTTTTTTGAGACGAGGTCTTCCTGTAGCGCCAACTGGCCTGGAACTCATTATGAAATACAGCAGTTGTAACTAATTGAGTTCTTCCGTACAAAAAGGCAGAACTGAAATAAATTGGGGCTGCAGTATTCACTGTGAGCCCTCCCAAGAAGCGTCTTTTCTGTCTCCTTTCCTTTCTTTCAATCCTCACTCCCCCTTTCAGGTACTGTCCATTTTGGCTGGCTGGCACCGGCATTGAAACAGAGTCTCCCTGTAGCCCCAAGCTGGCCTGGAAATAACTGTGTAAACCAGGCTGGCCTTCAACTCACAGAGATGTTTTGCCTGCCTCTGCCTCCCGGAGTGCTGCGATTAAAGGCATGTGCCACCATGCCCTGCCTCTATTATTTTTTCTTAAGGCCAATGGAGTCTAATTTTTATTTCCCAAATGCTAAGCCCGTTTCCTTGTCTGTAAAATGGGCTTCTTAGGAATGCTTCCTTTATAGGGTTGTTGTGAGAATTAGAGGAGATAATATACATATAAAGTTTAACCCACATGTATTCAACTAGCAGTGTGAATTGTTCTGAAGTCAAAATTTTTGGTTTTATTCTCATCCCAGCAGGAATCTGCCTTAACACATGAAAACAATTTTTCCATGGTCAGGAATTCTAATTTTTTAAAAAATATTTTATACTTTTATTTTATGTGTATGAGTGTTTTGTCCGCATGTTTGTGAGCACACCTGTGTCATGCAATGCCATGGAGGTTAAAGAGGGCTTTCCCTTCTAACCTGGAACTGGAGTTAAGGACAGTTCATAGCCACCATGTGGATGCTGGGAATTGAACCCAGGTCCTCTGCAAGAGCAGTCAGTGCTCTTAACTGCTGAGCCATCTCTCCAGCCCTGGGAATTCTAATTTTTATACCACCATACTCGTGAGAATTCCGGGATCTCGGTTCTGGCTCTGTTAGTTCCAATCTATGACCTTGGGCATGGACAGAGCCTGTACTGGAAGGTATCCAAATGGCTGCCTAGTTCTGGGCTTTCCTGCATAAAAAAACTTTATGCACTGGCAATTCCAATCTATGACCTTGGGCATGGACAGAGCCTGTACTGGAAGGTATCCAAATGGCTGCCTAGTTCTGGGCTTTCCTGCATAAAAAACTTTATGCACTGGCAAGATAACTTCTGTCAGAGTCTAGCAAGTGATAGGTAGACTTTCAGCAAATGGTATTTAATATACTCTTTATTAACTAACTGTAGAATTCGATCTTTGACCTGCTTACCACTCCAGTTTGTGACAATAATCAAGAGTAAAAGTGGGTATGACAACGTTTTGTTAGTGGGAAAGCTTGGCTCAGGAAGGAGGGAAGGTGGTATTGCAGGAGCTTTGTTCTGTTTTGTGTCTATAGTTACCTGTGACCCTACACATGAATGACAAGTAACATTCCTCTTGTTTCGTTTTAGAAAATAGTGGTGTTTGTGATCACACTCTACCAACTTTACAAAAAGGGCTCAGACTTTTTTCAGGCTTTGTTAGCCAACCCAGATGGAAGTGGTCACCATGTTCAAGACAGTAATATCTTCATGTCCTTGGGTCTGCAAGAGAAAATTCTGAAAAAGCTTCAGATGGTAGAAAACAAAGTGAAGGACCTGGAAGGGATGATTGCTGCCCAGAAACCTGCAGTGAAGCGGGACTGCTCCTCTGAGCCCTACTGCAGCTGTTCTGACTGTCAGAGTCCCTTGCCCATTTCAGGGTTTACGTCTTCATCTGAAATGTGATGGACTCCAATCTATTCCAGAAAAGCACTGCTTCCCTCATGTGTGCAGTGTTGAATCAATAAAGATAGAGAACTATATTGAAAAAAAAAAAAAAATAGAAGACAGTACAAATAAATCAATCCTTCATTTGAGAAATATGAAAAAAGTTACTAATCTAGAGACATTCACTATAGCAATAAATCTGGAAACTCATTCTATGGACCAAAATCAGAACTCATGAAGACCTGACCACCAGACTTGCTATATACATTTCAGCTGCTCCAGGGCTAGCCTCGCCTCCTCAAAGGACAGCTTTACAGCAATGCTAGGTGCTCGGTATTAGAGTGTGCTAGAAAATGACGTGCAGACAAGGACACTCACTGAAACATGGTTGGAAATGGTCAGAATCAAAGAGCAGGCCACATTACCAACACAATGACTAAACAGACTGAGACTCACACAATGAGAAACTAACAATCATGAAAAAAACTGTGGTGAATTTACTTGGATATGGAAACTGCAAAACATATTGTTAGGAAGGGGAAAGCACTCAAGCTGCGATGTCTATATTACATGATCCCTATCATTTTTGTAAAGAGAGACATGTGTGTGCGTGTGTTGATGTGCAGAAGACTCACAGAACAAGAGGATGGATACAAAAGTGTTGACCGTGACTGACCCTGAAGACTGTAAGACTAGAATGTTCTCAGTGAGAATTTAATCACACCTAATATGAGTACAAACCAAAACTATGGTTTCCATATGAACTAACAGAAGCCAGATTCAACTTTTTGAAAAATTCAACTGTGATTTTAACAACAACAGCAACCCTGCATTAAATGTGCACTCTCCTGTTGTGACTAGTCTGAGGTGTTCAGAATATTCTTGCGAGGTTTTCAAAGGTCAAATCGCATCTTTCCATTTGCATTGTGTTCCGTGGGATCTGGGGTCTCAATACCTGGATGTCAACATCCTTTTAATATGGTAATTCCCAGCAAAGGGAAAGACCTAGAATCACAACCCCAGTTGGAGTTCTAACTACAGGACCAAGAAAGCAGAATTCTATTTCTGAATTTATGTTGAGTCCAAAGTTCAATGACAATTTACATCAACTCTTTAGTTAAAGGCTTTTTCTGGGACAGAAAATGGTATACATTCTGTCATATAACATCTTGGTAAATTAAAGAATATTTCTTTCTATAACTGGTCAGTATAACAGAAAAGTGATAGAATTTTTTTATCTTTAATTTTAATTTTTAGATAGGGCTTCATGCAGCTTCAAACTCCTTATGTAGCCAAGGATGACTTTGAACTGCTGATCCTCCTGCCTCCACCTCCCCTCCCAGTGCTGGGATTATAGGGGCGTGTCACAAAGCCTGGTTTACATAGTCCTAGGGATTGAACTCATGGCTTCATGCATACTAGACAAGCACTCTATCAACTAAGCTACATCCTCAGCCCAAGAGAATTTTTTTTAATGAAGCAATTGGGCATTGCTAAACACTTAAAATAACAAAGTTTCAGTACTAAGAATTGCTTTCTAGTCCACATCAAAACTGGATTTTCATGTTATATCATCAACTGAAGGCACTGCAAAGTAAGTGAAACCCTGATTCAGTTCACATAAAAATAAATAAGTAATAAATAAACAAATAAATAAGAAGGCTAGCATGACCATCACTCAACGTGGCATAATTCCTCTTAGAAAGAACTAAATGGAAACACATCTACTTGAGACATGGTTCTAAAGAGGGAAAGAAAAAGAGGATAAAATGTCAGTGTTTGTTCAACCACAATGTTTTCAGTTCTCTTCTAGAATTTCATTCACTCACCAAATTCCCAGTAAGTCAAAATGCAGAATTGCTAAAGGAAAGAATTTCAGACCTTTTAACCACCTACTCAAGAAATATTCCTTTATTTGTTCATTATCCCCCCTTACATCCTTTCCATATTCTAACGTTACTTTAAAGTGTACTGAAAATTAAAAATACCTTCTTTTAAAACTTTAAATATCTTCCATCACTCTGGAGGCGACAGAATCTCATTCCCCCAGGTTTTCGTGAGGAAAGTGAGGCTTAGCAAGCTGGCATAACTTACTCAAGCATTGTAGTATCAAGTGTCAAAACCTAAAATCTTCAAAATACCAATATTCAACTTTTCCCACAGATACTGTACACAGACCTTTTTTTTTTTTTTTTTTTTTTTGTTTTTTTTGAAAAAGGGCCCCCCCTTGCCCCCCC